GCCCGCCTCGGCCTCCCAGAGAGCTAGGATTACAGGTGTGAGCCACCGCGCCCGGCCCCCTGTGTGCTTCTTTTAACCTGAGAAGTACAACATCACTGAGACATAATGTATGTGCGGTTTGCTTATACATTATTTTTATTTTTTATTTTTTTGCTTATACATTATTTAACTTAGAAAGACTGAACTTCTTTTTTGTAGTTGTCAGTTTTCTTTTATCCTAAATATGGTAAACATAAGAGCCTTCACAATAGTTTTCGGTCAATTAAAATTTGGAGAATGTGAAATAAATTTATTATTCCTATTAGTCTTTTTTTTGTATTGAGGTCAAATTCACATAACATACAATTAACCATTTTAAATGTACAAGTCGGTGGCATTTAGTATATCCACAACGCTCTGCGGCCATCACTTCTGTCTAGGTCCAAAATATTTTTATTATCCCCCAAAAGAAACCCCCATTAAGTAGCCACTTCCCATTTGCTCCTCCCCCCAGTTTCTAGCAAACACTTTCTATTTCTGGATTTACTTATTCTGGATATTTCATGTAAATGCAATCATACGTGATATTTTGTGTTTGGCTCCTTTAACTTAGCATAATGGTTTTGAGGTTCGCCTACTTTGTATTATGTATCATTATTTCATTCGTTTTTATGACTAAATAATATACCACACTGTTTTGATTACTGTAGCTTTGAAGTAAGTTTTGAAATCAGAAAGTGGGAGTCCTCCAATTTTGTTTTTCTTTTTCAAGATTGTTTTGGTTATTCAGGGTTCCTTGCAATTCTATATGCATTTTAGGATCAGCTTTTTCATTTCTGCATAACAGGCCATTGGGATTTTAATATGAATTGCATTGAATCTGCAGATTGCTTTGGGTAGTACTGCCATCTTAACAATATTAAGTCTTCCAATGTGTGGACACTGGATGTCTTTCTACCTGTTTAGGTCTTTGATTTCTTTCACCAATATTTTTAGTTTTCAATATACAGGTCTACACAGGTTAAATACAGGTTCTGGGTTAAATTTATTCCTCAGTATTTTATGCTTTTTGATATTATTGTAAATAAGATTTTTTTTCCTAATTTCATTTCAAATTGTTCATTACTAGTGTATAGAAATACAACTGATTTTTGTGTGTTGATCTTATATCCTGCAATTTTGCTGAATGTTTATTATTTCTAATTTTTTTTGTGTATTCTTTAAGATTTCTATATATAAGGTCATGTCTTTATGAATACAGATCATTTTACCTTCTCCTTTCCAATTTAGAGACAAGATATGAAAATAAGTCATAAGTATCTAAAGGCATAAATAGTTACAGTCAATACTGTAAAAACACAGCAATAAGAAACAATGTCAATAAATATAGATCTAACAGCCTGGTGCCCAAAGCCATGATACACTCATGCACAGAATATGTGGGAGGACACAGCAGCAGCAGCCAAATCAGACTGTTGAGGAAGACAGAAGAGCTGGAGAGAGAGAATATTTATATAAAATTATAAAAAGCATAGACTAGTAGTGTTAAGTGCTAAATAAGTCATTCAGGTCAGTAAAGAACACAGGAGGGAAAGCTTACATATGTCGGACTGGTTGGGAAAGAAAAGATGGCCAGAATTCAAGGTGGTCTTTAAAGTTCAGGTAGAATTGAGACAGAGGAAGACAGAATGGGAAGAGTTGGAATCTCAGGTGAAGACATAACTTGGGAGATGATAAATAGTAATTTTGGAAGCTACAGGGTACACGGAAGGGAATAGTATTGAAGATACATTTAGGTCTCAGAAGATAGATTGGTATAGGTAGGGACAGGGGAGGGGGTATATTCACACCTAATGGGTGCACCGTCTGGGGGATGGGCACCCTTGTAACTCTTACTTGGGCGGGGCAAAGACAATATATGTAACCTAAACATTTGCACTCCTCCTAATATTCTGAAATAAAAAAGAAAAGAAAAGAAAAAAAAAGAAGAGAGGTTGACTCAGACTCTGTTAGGTTAACAACTAGGCTAAGTAGATTAAACAAACAAAAGGATGTACAATGGAGAAAGAAAAGAATGTAGAGACAAGAGTAGATACTGGAGTGAGAGAAGAAAAGATAGTTATTTCATCTCTTGAGCTATCTCTGAACCACAAGCTGTAGTGACATAAAAAATGGGAAAGATAAATTGTAGCTACAGTCAAACGAATAAACACACTTGATGCCTACTTGGTGTAAAATTCTTGAATAATGCTCTTTGAAAGATGGATTAGAAATTTCCATGGTTTCTTAGGTATCTTTCTGGAAGTTTCTCGTATATTTTGAACATGACGGCATCCCTCTTTTTGTTTCCCTTGTGAATTATCATAGTTAAGACAAGTACAATGTCAAAATGTGCTGGATTAATTATGAGATTTCTGAAGTTAATTTTAACTGCATAAGTAATCCATGAACACATTTCTCCTGTAATAAGAGAAAACAATATAGACACAGCTTAAGGGCTCCAATTCTGATCCTCTCCCTGAGACCACTATTAACGTCGTGTGTATTCATCCAGACCTTTACTATGCAATGACATACTTGTGAATTCATATAAAATACATACCTTTAAAAAAACAAGTATCGGCCAGGAGCGGTGGCTCACTTCTGTAATGCTAGCACTCTGGGAGGCCGAGGTGGGAAGATCGCTTGAGCTCAGGGGTTTGAGACCAGCCTGAGCAAAAGTGAGACCCCCCCCCCATGTCTCTCTATGAAAAAAAAAAGAATAAAAAAACAAAACAAGTAGTATACAGTACTTTTGCTTCTGCAACTTAAACTGATGCATGTGTCAATGGACAAAAAGCCAAAGTCTGTAACATAATTTAAATATGTTTATTCTGAGCCAAGTCTAAGGACCATGGCCCGGAGCCATGCCCAAGAAGCCTTGAGCAAGTGGACTCACCGTGGTTGGGTTGCAGTTTGGTTTTAAACATTTCAGGGAGACAGGAATTATAGGTAAAAGCATAAATCAATACATGGAAGGCATACATTGGTTTGGCCGGAAAAGGTGGGACATCTCAAAGGGGGGGGCGGGGCTTGCAGGTTATAGGTGGGTTTAAAGACTCTTTGACTTGTAATTAGTTAAAGAAATGAAGCTTTGTCTAAAGGTTTGGAATGTTTTAAATTAAGATAAGGAAGTCTGCTAATCAGAGACAAGCTACAGTCCATATATTTGTTATGTAAATGGAGGCCTGGCAGGTTTGTCTTGTATAGCCTTAGACCTGTTAATGAGTCACAAAGTATATCCCCAAGAAGGGAGGGGAGCATGATGAGGCTTGTCTGACCTCCCTTTTCATGGCCTGCAACTCAGTTTTAGGGTATCTCCTTGGCCAAGAGGGGGGTCCATTCAGTCAGCCGGTGGGGGGCAGCATTAAGATTTTATTTTAGTTTCCACATCTCTCCTGGAATATGGATGTATCGCAATGTAGCCATTTACCTGCTGTCAATGTTCCAATTTTTTACTGTTTACTGAGTTCTACCAAACAACTGGCATCAGCTCCTGGCGCAAACATGCAGGTGTTTTTCTAGCATTGACAGCAATTTGTGAAGTTGCTGAAAAGGTGTATTTTCGAATGTAACTGATGATGCAAACTGTCTTCCAAAGGGGCTGCACCGATTTATACCAATTTATACGCCTATGTAGAGATCTGGAATCACTGCCTACCTGGCAGAGACAGTTTTTTCCCCGGGGGTAGGGGGTTCCAGGCCTGGCAATCCCCGGGTCCCTACTCTGGGCCTGACCAGGCGCCACGCCCCCGGCGCTGCCCCTGCACTTGTTTGGGCCCAGCCCCTTCCGTGCGGTGGTTCCGCCTCTCCGTTGCGCCCTTCCCCAGGGCTGGTAGCGGGAGGGGCGGGGAGCGGGTCGGTCGTGACGTCACTGCCGGCCAGACGCCATCTTGATGGTTTGCGGCCGGACTTGGATGTGGCAGCCCCGGCGGTGGTGAGGGCGTGGGCAAGGGTGGGGTGAGGGGGCGAGGCCGCGACGAGGGCGGCGAAACTCTCCTCCCCTCGGCCCCACCGCGTGGGACGGCGTGGACCTGGTGTCGGAGGGATGTCCGCCTTCACCGAGGCGGCGCTGGAGAAAAAGCTGTCGGAGTTGAGCAACTCGCAGCAGAGCGTGCAGACCTTGTCCCTGTGGCTCATCCACCACCGCAAGCACTCGCGGCCCATCGTCACCGTGTGGGAGCGGGAGCTGCGGAAAGGTGAGTCGCCCGCGCTTCTCGGCCGCTCCCCGCCCGCTGGCCGGTTCCTGGCGCCCCGGGACCTCCTGCCCTCTTCCCGGGAGCCCCGCTTCCCAAGCGGCCCCCGCTCCTGGGCGACGCCGGCTCCCCGGCGAGGGGAGGGAGCTGTCCCGGTGCCCGCGCGCGGTGGTCCGCGGGCTGGGAGGAGCAGCTTGCACCGCGCTTCTGCAAAGTCGGCGCTTCGGAGAATAAAGGAATGGATTTTTTTTTAAAAAAACTTCGATTAACTTAACACAGAAACAGTAGCAGTGGCTTGGGAGTACACACCCAGTTAGGGCTAGAAATTCAGGTAGTCAGGTATTTTTTTCATTCCGTGGAGTATAATGGAGGATATGAGAGGGAAAAGGTAAGGAGGTGGAAAGGAAAAGGTTGGTGTGGGTTTGGGCGTTACTTCCGTCACTTCTATAACACATCATCTTAGTCTTGCAAAATTAATAGAGGAATCAGTTTTAAAGCGGGGGAGTCAAAAATAAGGTGTGTGATGCAGTGGAAAGAACCCTGAATTTGGAGATTTTGGGCAAGTTTCTTATAACTTCTGGATTGCAGATGCCTCCCCTGAAAATGAGAGATTTAGGTTAAGTGATCCAAGGTCCTTTCTTGCTCTGTGATTATATTCCTCTAGGGTAGTATCTTTATTTTGCAAAACATTTTATAGTGCTCCCGTAAATGAAGTAAACTTTTTTGAGCAGATGTCTGTCACTAAAATGTCCAGATTCGGTTCACTTCTCTAGAGCGACTGTATCTGTAAAAAACTGTATGTTAGTGCGGCTGAAAATAAAAATATTTCATTTGCTTGGTCTGAGTTTGTATTCATTCTTAATTCATTGGGTCGAGTGGGCACTCTTCATTATTGTTTCAAACATCCTGATAGATATGGTGTTTATTAAGTGTTAAGGGTTTTAACCATTAGTAATCAAAATAGTTGCTTATTGGCCCCTCTGAAAGCTGTATGGTGTATTAACATGAGAGCCAAAATGTTGACTGTGTAGAATGGAGACAAACTGTTCTTGTCTTTTGTATTTGCTTGTGGTTAAGAAAATGTCATTCCTTAGAAGAAATTGACTTATAGTCCTGTTTTGCAGTTTATATATAAGTGTATGTGTATTGGCTCTCATTGAGGAATTCATCTTCTGTGAGTGGACAAAAAGTTTTGAGAAACACTGATACAAAGGTCTGAAAAGTAGCTGTGAACTTTGAGATGTCAGGAATTAGCTTTGCTTCTAAATTTTACTAGATTTCAGAATCAACAAGAGGTTTATCTCTTTTTTTTGTTTTTGAAAGAGGATTTAGAAATACATATAATTAATAAGAGAATGATATCCAGACTTAAGAGCCGTTGTAATACAAATCAGTAGAAAAATGGCAATACTGGCGTTTTTTCATTTTGTTTATCATTTTTGTTCACACCATTTAAGTAAGTCCCTTGTATTTTTTTTATTAACTTGAAAGAAAGAATTTTTTGCTGAGTTGAGGCTGATAGGGTAAATTAGTTTACTTATAAACTTTGTCTTTTTGTGTACATTAGTGTAAACCTCAAATTGAAATCTTCTATTGCTTTTGTTAAATAATAAGCCAAATGCTAGATATCTCTGAATGTCTGGAAGAGAGGATGGACAGATGGAGAGATACACGAGAAATAGTAAGGAGATGAATTCAACAGGGCTTGGCTGGTTGGCCAGAAAGGTGTAAGGGCAGTAAGGAAGAGAGAAGACTCCGACTCCCTGACTCTTGCCTTGGTTGATGGGGCAGATGCTGGTACCATTATGGCTTATACAAAGAACTGGATTCAGAGACAAGGATGAATATTACTAAAGTAGTTCAACTTAACATTTCAAGGTATCAATCAATTAATTAGAAATAGGGGCTTGTTTCTCAGGAGATATTTTGGAGCCATCAGAATATAAATGGTGGTGGAAACTGTTACACATGTAGGAGGCTCTAGGGAGAATGAAGAAAGTGACAAGAAAAGGACAAAGGTAGAATTCTGGTAAACATTGACTCGTACTGGGTGGGCAAAGAAGAGAGCTGACTTTGGTGGGCAGCAGATTTTGCTGTCCCAGATCCCAGGAAGATGTGTTTTCCTTGAATCCGGAGAGGGGAGATCTAAGTCATAGACCTGGCTCTGCACTGCTCACACCGCTGATCCACAGCCAATGCCCCCCGGCACTGACTCAGACTGCAGCAGCCTTGGAGGACTGGTCGGTTCTGGGGGAACTATGGATCACCAGGAGTTTAGGCATTCAGGGTGGGCCACTTTTAGCCAAGAGGCAGAAGGCCTCTTAGGACATAGGAGACAAGAGTACAAGCTCCCCACCATTTGGGCCTTCTCCTTCCTGGTCCGCTGCTGCCAAGGCAATACTGTTTATAGGCATTTCACATGAGGAAACCTGAAAGACCAATAAATGATACTTAATCTTACAAATCAGGAAAAAATCTCAGCGGGTATTGTTGCAAGTGCAAAAAACAAATCAGGAAAAAATAAACCAGTGAGGTACCACTTTGTGTTCATCAATTTGGCAAAATTAAAGATTATGATAATATCACAAATTGTTAAGAGTGAAGGGAAACAAATTCTTAACACCATTTGGTGGGAGTATAAAAAGGTGTAACAATTTTGGAGATCAGCTTAGCGACCTCATGAAGTTGGGGGTATATATCCTTTGACTTAGCAGTTGTCTTTCTAGGAATGTATTTTAGAAGTGAGTACCACGCTCAAGATACTGTGTTTATTATAGCCTTGTAATAACAAAATTGGAAACAAGGTAAACATTCCATTAGTTAGAGAATGGATAAATAAATTGTGATATTCATAAAATGGAATAATGTCCAACGGTTTCATGAATGAACTAGAGATACAGGAAATAACATGACCAATTAAAAAACAACAAACATATGAAATCTTAAGCTAAGAAAGTAAGGAACAGACAGACCAGTATGCTATTTGGTGAAGTTTGAAAACATGCACAATACTCTATTTACAGATATATGTAGTTACAGTTAAAACATGCATATGGAAAACACTGTATTCAAGACAGTGGCTACTGTAAAGAGAGAGGAAATGAAATGGGAGCAGTGCTACCTAATATTTCATATATTTAGGAAAATATTGGTACAAAAGTGGGAAAAAGATATGATGTGCTATTAGCTGGGTTTGGGTATGTTTCCATATGCTTAAATGCTTCATACTTAGACAACATTAAAGGCATAAATAGATGTTTAGGAGGATGGTGATGGTGATGATAGTGTTGATAGTAATGGTGGTTGTGATGAACATGCTGCTGCTGCTATCCTCATGTTGGTCTGGGTTAGTATTCCAAAGATTTCCTTTTCTTGTCACATGACTGCCTTTGTAGAGGGTAGGCTTTGTGTTTTCCCCCTTCCTTGCAGTTTTGCTCATCAACTTCAGGATCCTCATCTCCTGTAGTTTAATAACAATGGCAATCACTTAGTGAGTACCAGGCGTTGGTTTAGCCATTTTACTGTGATATCTTGAATCCTCATATCATTTCTGCAAGTATTTATGAAAGAAATTGATCACATTTGAAAATATGCTAAGGAAAACCGGTTGAACATTTTGTATTAAGCTAGGCATTCTTTAGTTTCTAGAAGTGTATAAAGAAGACAAAAATGTGACATTGGAAGAAATTACTGTTCAAAATAAAAGAATGAGTTGGTAAAATTGTATGTGTCAGACATAGTAATTATTTATGAAGGTTCCCCCTCTTATTCTATACCTCCTTATCTTTTTCTCCTTTAAAGAAAGAGAATTTGTTTGGAGGCATAAACCCCAAGGCCTTTATAAAGACCTAAATGGCATATAATTTCCCTGATAAATGCAATAAATAAATACATAGCCAAAAATGTGACCCATTTTGTTGTTTTTTTCTAACAGCTTTATTGAGATATAATTCACATGCCATATAGTTAATCCATTTAAAGTGTACAATTCAATGGTTTTTAGTGTATTCATAGAGTTGTAAAACCATCACTAAAATCAATTTTAGAACATTTTCATTACACAAAAAGAAATTCTAAAAGGCTTTTTAGCTGTCCATCCCCAAATCCCCTCATCTCCCTAGCCCTAGACAACTGCTTTATTTTGTCTCTGCAGATTTGCCTATTTTTCCATTTCATATATGGAATTGTATGATAAACAGTCTTTTGCAGCTGGCTTCTTCTAGTCAGCATGTTTTCTAGGGTCATCCATGTTATAGCGTCTATCAGTACTTCATTCCTTTTTATGGCCAAATAATATTTTGTTGTATGAATTTACCCATTCATAAGTTGATAAGCATTTGAGTTCTAGTTTTTGCTATTATAAATAATGCTGCTTTGAACATTTCACGTACTACGAATTTTTTGTGGATATGTTTTCATTTTTCTTGGGTATATATTGAGGAGTGGAATTGCTGAGTCATATAGGAACTCTATGTTTAGCCTTTTGAGGAACCACCAGGCTATTATTTTCTTTTTTCCATTAAAAAAATTTACTTTTAATTATTATGGGTACATAATAAAAATGTTTATAGGGT